CAATTCTCCTGCCTCAGCCTCCTGAATATCTGGGACTACAGGCGCACATACCACCAAACCCGGCTAATTTTTGTATTTTTAGTAGAGACGGGGTTTCTCCATGTTGGTCAGGCTGGTCTCGAACTCCTGACCTCATGATCCACCCAGCTCAGCTTCCCAAAGTGCTGGGACTGCAGGCGTGGGCCACAGCGCCTGGTCTCATCCTCATCTTTATTGCAAACACAATGATTATTTCTGCCATGATTCCAGCATACTTCATACTGTGAGGGCTGCCTGTTTTCAGGTCTGTCTCCGCCTCCCTCCTGGGCTACTCTGACTCTCGTTTCTTCGTGTGTACCCAGCCCTGAAGGACCACCGTCCTCCGTATAGGACAGTTGTAAGACTGAGGTCCTGCCTGCCAGGAGAGTGCCAGGCACGCACTGGGGAACCCCTACTGCCTACACTTACACGATCACCAGCCACTTGCTCTGCTTCGCCAGGCCCAGGAGGGTGAAGAGGCAGACCAGCAGTTCCAGGAGCAGCAAGAGGACATAGGCCAGCCACCTGGGAGGGGAGATGGTAGGGCTGAAACCACAAACCTGCCTCCAGGCACCCCGGCGGAACAGCAACCCCGCCACCAACGTTCACCCCGCGCCCCCAGCTCAGTCTCACATTCACTACCCTCCAAGCTCAGCCTCCTGCTGTTTACTGTGTCTGGGCCACAGCCCAGCTCATCTGTGAAATGGGCTCATCAGGAGATGGGTCACTAGAGAGGTTTAGAATACAGGTCCTGAGCACCTGGGACTATCCCCTGGCTGGGCGGCACACACGTGCCCTGGACCAGGGACATGTGATGTGTCCTCTCCGAGCTCCCCATCCCCGACCATGCCCTGCACAGTGGAGATATTCCTTCTGAGACTGCACCGAGGAGCCCATCGCATCCCCTGAGGGCAAACGTCTGGAGGCAGAGGCTGCCTGGTCTCAATCCCAGCCCCTCCGCTTAACCGGCCGGGTAACTGTCTGGGTAACCTTAGCCTCTCGTTCCTCAGTTTCCCCACCTGCAACGTGGGGAGCGCAGCACCACTGGCTTGAGAATGTTGCCCCAAGTGGGATGCGTGACTAGAAGTGCTCAGAGAGTGCCAGGTACGTGGACACACTTAGAGGTTAGCCTGAGCGTGAAAGAGGGAACTGAGATGTTATTTAATAGTTAATACTTGGCCGGGCGCAGTGTAATCCCTGCACTTTGGGAGGCTGAGGCGAGCGGATCACTTGAGGTCAGGAGTTTGAGACCAGCCTGGCCAACATGGTGAAACCCCGTCTACTAAAAATACAATTAGCTGGGTGTAGTGGTGCATGCCTGTAATCCCAGCTACTTGGGAGGCTGAGGCAGGAGGATCATTTGAATCCAGGAGGTGGAGGTTGCAGTGAGCCAAGATGGCGCCATTGCACTCCAGCCTGGGCAACAAGAGTGAGACTCAGCCTCAAAAATGGAAAAAAAAAAAAAGTTAATACTTAAATATCTGCAAAGCGCCCACCACGATTCAGGAGGTGCAAGCACCCAAGCCACAGTGAGAGACAGGACCAGCTGGATTTCCTAAGCCCACCAAGAACCCCTAAGCCTAGCTGGGAAGGTGACCTCCTCCACCTTTAAACACGGGGCGTGCAAGTTAGTTCACACCTGACCAATCAGGTAGCAAAGAGAGCTCACTAAAATGCTAATTAGGCAAAAACAGGAAGTAAAGAAATAGCCAATCATCCATCGCCTGAGGGCACAGGGGGAGGGACAGTGATCGGGATATAAACCCCAGCATTCCAGCCTGCAACGGCTACCTGCTTTGGATCCCCTCCGTTTGTATGGGGGCTATTTTCACTCTGTTAAATCTTGCAACTGCACACTCTTCTGGTCCATGTCTGTTATGGCTCGAGCTGAGTTTTACTCGCCGTCCACCACTGCTATTTGCCGCAGTCGCAGACCCACCACTGACTTCCACCCCTCCGGATCCAGCAGGGTGTCTGCTGTGCTCCTGATCCAGCCAGGTGCCCATTGCTACCCCCAATCGCGCTAAAGGCTTGCCTTTGTTCCTGCACTGCTCAGTGCCTGGGTTTGTCCTAATCGAGCTGAACACTAGTCGCTGGGTTCCACGGTTCTCTTCCATGAGCCATGGCTTCTAATAGAGCTATAACACTCATTGCATGGCCCAAGATCCCATTCTTTGGAATCCGTGAGGCCAAGAACCCCAGGTCAGAGAACAAGAGGCTTGCGGCTACCTTGGAAGCAGCCGGCCACCATCTATGGAGTTCTGGGAGGAAGGACCCCCCCCAAGGAACAACAGTGCAGTACCCAGCACATAGTAAGTGCCCAGTTAATCCTGCCATTCTCTGCAGGCCCCACAAGCTTGGGCTTCACTCCTTACCCTCATCTCTGGCTGCTTCCCCCAGCCTCACAAGTGCTGCCTCCTGCAAGACTCCCTTGAGGGCCCCTGATTTGTCTCTCGAGGGACTCCCAAGTGTGGGGTGCTTTCGCAGTGGTGCACCCGGAATATACCCTGGCGTCACCCTCATGGCTACCCCCACTTCCCTGCCCTCCCCCAGGAGGAGGAGCTGAGGCCCGGCTTGTGTGGCCCCTGGGCCTGACCACAGTGCAGGACCTGGATTTCCGCAAACTTAGGCCTGTCTGTCTGTTGCATCTGCTGCCCTGCAGGTGTGTCTTGACCTCCAGCTTTTTCAGCCCCAGTCTGCCTTCCCCACTCCCGGAAGGTCTCCCGAATCTCAGCCCATGCCCCGCAGGCAGGGCCCCCAGCTGACGTCGCATGAATGAATGAATGAATGAATGAATGAATGATTACTAATGGTCAAAGCGATGAGGATGCCATCATGGTGGCCGTTGGGAAGGGTGGCTGCCTGGACGCTGCACAGCCCCCTGCCTCCTCTTCTCCAAATGCCACCTTCTCAGTCCCCCTGATGAACTGCCAGACTCTGTTCCACCTCATCTCCCTCTATAATTTTCTTTTTTTCTTTCTCTTTTTTTTTTTTTTGAGACAGAGTCTCACTCCACTACTCAGGCTGGAGTGCAGTGGCACAATCTCCGCTCACTGCAAGCTCCGTCTCCCGGGTTCACGCCATTGTCCTGCCTCAGCCTCCTGAGTAGCTGGGACTACAGGTGCCCGCCACCACGCTTGGCTAATTTTTGTATTTTTTTAGTAGAGACGGAGTTTCACCGTGTTAGCCAGGATGGTCTCCATCTCTTGACCTCGCGATCCTCCCACCTCGGCCTCACAAAGTGCTGGGATTACAGGCGTGAGCCACCGTGCCCGGCCCCCTCTGTAATTTTCTCCAAAGTTCTCATGGCCCAACACCTTACAGACGGTGTTTGCTCTGCGTTTGTCCCTTGCTGGCGCCTCCTAGAGGACGCAGCCACGTGGCAGGGATTTCTGCCACTTACTCACTGCCCTGCCCCGCTACCTGGGCGGCTGCACTTCCCGTGCATCTCTGCGGTGCTTTCCCTGTGCCAATCGCCCTTCTCGGCACTCAGATGCCAACTCAACAGTTCACAACAATTTAACAAGGGGGACGCTGCCCCGATTCCCATTTCACAGACGGGGCCTGCAAAGTAACTTGATTGCAGCCGTGTAGTTAGGGAGGGGCTGGCTGGCTTTCAAGTGCAGGTTCCTAACCTGTAGGTCCGCTGCCTCTTTCGCCAGAGGGTGCTAAATAAATGGGGCG